TAAAATGCAGATCGATTTATCTTTTAATTGATGTTTTCTTAAAACCTCTTTTAAAATATGATTTTTAGGTATTCGACCTACCCAACCCAAAAGGCCGATGGCGATTCTAAAACACCATTTATTTATTCACATTACTTTTCCCTCCAGGTAAAATTTTGTGCCCGGACAAAAACCGGTTACGACAATGTCTATAAGGTTTAAATGAGTCGGGTATATATATATATATGTTCTAGTGAGTAATATATATAGTTATAAATATGGTTTTTAATCTTGATGTTTGATAAAGTTATATTTTTTATTTGTATATATATAAATTTTTATTTAGGTAGTTTCACTCTTTATACGAAACAATATTGAACTGCCTTGTTGTTGTTTGAAATCGAACTTGAATTGGATCTCAAAATAATATATTATGATTTTACTCAACTAAATAGTTTTGTTATAAATGTTAAATTTGGAAGTTTTAAAAAGAATAAAAATCTGACCGATTTTCAACTAGGAAACACTTTAAATGTTTGATGTGACATCTATAACTCATATTCAAGTATGTATACGGGATAGGGTGTTACACATAAGACTTTAATAATGGTTAAGGACCTCAATAGGGCATCTTGGGTAACTTTAGGAGTCAAATTCGTGCCGAAACAAGGCATTTCTGGATTTGGGTATTGGTACTGGAAGAACAATACGATATTGTTCTTGGGAGGAACAAAATGAGGGAATTTTGGCATAAGAGTATCGATATGAGTATCGATACCGTAGACCTAGTTTCGAGACTTATAAGAAGGGTATCGAGGCTGATTTTCTAGTAGTCAATTTTGGTATCGATAATCATGGAGAGTACCAATACTGAGGTATATTTTTAAAACAACAAAGCAAAATTTGGTATCGATACCTCAGAGAGTATCGATATCCTAGCACGGGAGTATCAATATTTGTTCATCAATATCGATACTGTCATTCCATCTTAGCTTAAAATTAGTCATTAGTATCGATACTCAAGGACGAGTATCGATACTAGTGAGTCGGTACTGATACCAAGGGCTCAATATTGGTAAACGCGTACATTTTTGGACAAATAGTTCAAGAGAGTTAGAAGAAATGTTAAGGACCCAAAAGCACTCAAAGTACTCTCAAATAAAACTAAAAGTGAGAACCGTAATAATAATAAATTAAAGCTAGAAACAAGAATAATATAGGATGTTATAAAACTAGCCTTGATTGATGCTCGGAAAAACAATTAGGAAACCCAAGTTACTTTAGTAAATGTTATGGTTTTGAGAAATAGAATTGTTCGAATATCCTTAGGTAGTGCTCGGGGCACTTTAAATTGACTAACTAGGGTGTGAGGCTTGAACACCCACGAGTGGTGGGTTAGTATGGTATTGTGTCGGATGTAGAGATTCTGGACCTCACCTTAGGAGATTAGAGGGGTGTGTGTCCCGAGATGTGTAACCATCCGACAACACCATGATGTTTACCCTATAGAAAAGTGGAGTATACATGTATACCCACTATATTTATTGCACTTGATAGCATGAGCATTTGATGAACACTTTTAGTATGGTTTAGTTGTAACACCCTAATCCAATCCAACCCGAAAGTCGATGGATTATGATGTCACACAAACCATATATGTGGCTAACCATTTTTTAAAGTATTTTATCAAATGAGTAAATAAATGCCATTCAAATACCATACGCACATAAAATATAAATATTTAAAATACGGGGGAGCTCTCGACATAAGTCTCCAAAATATATCAATAAAAAATACAGAGTTTACGTCCCAAATAAAATAAGGGTCTATGACAGTACATGCCCACTAAATATTAAAGACATACTCGAATAGTGATCAAGTCTGAAAATCTCCTATCTAGCGACGTGCACCTCGAAACTGGCACCTAAGGACTTGTGCAGGAAAACACATTACATACGCTGAGCTCACAAACTTAGTGCCTCATAAATAACCCTACTCTACCACATGTATTCAACATAAAAGCATGTTATAAGTATGGTCATGAATAATTGCAAAGACTAGAACAATACAAGTAAGTATCGTGGTATAGTTCGGGGTCACTTAGCCTCGCGAAACTCACACCCCTTTTTACTACTAAGACACTTTAGGAAGACCTGGGTCACATAGCATCAATGTCTCCCTAAGCTTCGAGTTAAGTCCGAATCGCGTGTCGATACTTACCCTGCTAGTCTACCCCCTAGAGTACTCGGGACGTATCCGGGTCACATAACATCAACACAACATCCAACTATCATTAGAGTGCCAAAACACTAATTTAGATTTATCTGGATAATTCTTACACAATTACACTAACATCATTAACTGACTCGGGTATCTTCATCATCTCTGAGAATCAAAAGAAAGCATAAGTCTTATGAAATCTTACCTCATTAAGGTCTTATATTATCACACATTTAATTATGGTTATCAATTGTATTCTTATGGAATAGTATACCCTTTTTAAGGAATCTCACATACCTTTCTCGAATTTGCCAGCAAAACTTCCCAAAATTTAACGTGGTTATCGACACTAGCATGGGAGTATCGATACTCATCCTCCTCAGTATTAATAATCTCTTGGGTATCGATACCGATTTTTACATTTTATGTTTCATAAAATAACTCAGTATCGATACCCATATGGATAGTATCGACACTACCCCATTGGTATCGATACTTTCTTGAGTATCGGTACCACGATTTTATTTTGGAATCCTGAGTATTGATACCACACGAACAGTACCGATACTCTATTCTAAGTATCAATACCATCCTAACCATCATTTGAATTTTTGCTTTTCCACGAAGGAAAGTATTGGTACTATTCATCTAGTACCGATACCCCTTGATCGAAAAGCCTTATTTTACTAGCTTTAAATCCCCAAAATCATTCTTAAAGAGTCTTTAAGTCCCCCAAGTAGTGTTTAAAGCTTATTAAACCATAAGAAACATAAAAGGGCAAAATTTTACATAAGAACAATAATAAATCCTAATTTCATGCTTTAAACCCCCACCCAAGTGCACACAAAGTTCCATACACAGAAACATGCATCAAGGCTTTACATATTGATCTACAAGAGGAAAGGTAAGGTTAGAAATGTTTTATCTTGCACTAAGGAGTTGTAAGAACAACCCCAAGCTCACCCAAGTGTCTCATTTCCTTTGCCTTGACCCCTTGAACTTTCCCCCACTTCTTTAACTAAAACAACCAATATAAGTGAGTCATTAACTCACCACAGAAGATTAAAGAAGTTAGGAATGAAATTTCTAAAGCTTAGGAAGAAACTAGAGCCTTCTAAGAGCCCTAACCACAAAACCCTTCTTAAACCCAATTATGGCCACCATGACCAAACTCAATTGTTGTGAGCTTACTTTGAAGCTTTAGGGAAGGTGATTCTAACTCTTACCTTCACTAATCCATGATAGGAATGTTGACCAACAAGTTTCCACCTTTGCTTGAGCTTAAGAAGAAGGATTAGAGGGTTTGAAATGAAGAAAGAAGACAAATGGAATAAAAAAGAGGAATGAACGAGTCACGTTTACATCACTATCCTTAATTGATATTCATCCTTTGAAATAATTTAGGGTTAATTACACTCCTAGTCCTCCTCTTTTGATGCTCACTTTAAAAACACCATTTTTTGCCTTATTGAGTCTAAGCCCAAAACCAAAACTAACTATAATTTAGCCTAAAACTCCAAATGGTTTCCTTAGGTTAATTTAAGCCCATGTGAGTTTTACCCAAAACTACTAACATAGAAATCGGGGTGTTACATTAGTTGTTAGTGTGGCACTAGGCTAGTGAGTTCAGTGTTCAAAATTTGTTTTCGTGCGCAGGTATTTAATAGGAGTGACCGAGAAGCCTTTTGTGCAGCAGCAACCCAGACCGATCGAGTAGCAAAGTATGTATTGAGTCTTATTCCTTAGAGGGCGTGTATTATACATAGACCTTTATGTACTTGAGTCGTAACTTTATTTTTTGTAATACTCAGATGTATTATTTTGATATACTTCTTTTGGGAGCTCCTCGATGTAAACTATATATATTTATGTCTTATTTACTTCACTTTCAATGATTTTAAACTTATGATTTAATAAGTATTTAAATAAATTTTTTTGGGTTAACCATTTCGGTGGTCTCGTGTAGCATTCTAATCGACCGACTTTGTGTCGTATCGGATTAGGGTGTTACAATGTTATTATACCATCCAAAGGTCGCATTATCTACTTATTATGGAAACAATGATTTGCACACACACAAATTTAGACAAATGGACTAAGGGTGTGTTTGATAGTTGTAAAATATTTTTCGGAAAATATTTTCTTCATTTTCCTGTGTTTGATCGTTGTATTTGATTTTCTTCAATGTAATTTATTTTCCTAGTTCCTTTTTATTTTCTGTAATGTTTTTCTCCTTCTGATTTTCCGTAAAATATTTTTCGACTTTTCACTTTAAAATATAAGCACACAAAATAATATTATTTTATTTATTTAAAATTAATATAATATTTTCATGTCATTTCAAAAAAGTATATTAGTTATTAAAATATTTAGTATATATAACATTAATAATATTATATTTTTCAATATTATAATTTAACTTAATAATATATAATAAATTATTAATATAATTTATATTATTTATTAAAATATTTAATATTTGTATAAAAATAATATTGTTTAATATTTAATACTATTAAAATATTTAATATATATAATAAAATTTAATAATATATAGTAAATTATTAATATATATTTAATATTAACTTTTTTGGAAATTAATTACCGCAAAATAATTTATATATTAAGTTTTAACTAGTCATAGTTTGTCCAACCGAATATATATTAAATATTATTTATAAAAATATTACTAAAAATTATTATTTCTCCTCCATAAAAAAGAAGTCATTAATTAACTTGCAACCTTCTTGATAAATTTATAAAGAAAACAATAAAAACTAAATTATATAAAATTGGAACTCACATAAGTTAAAAGATTCACTCATAAATGACATCAAATTACATATATTCTAATTCAGAAATCCTGTATCAAGGACATTACAGAAATCTACACATATATTCAAATGCACAAAAGTTATATCATATACAAGCAAACTAGTTCAAATCCAAATAACATTCTTCTTTAACTCCTAAAGACCTCCAATATTACGAAAGGGAGGGGGAGAGGGTTCTTTCTGTGTTGCTGGGAATTGATGTCCAAACCAAATCTTCATCATCAGTACGTAACCTTTTCCTGGACATATTTACTGCATGAGGTGAATTCATCATGCCTGCACAACACAAACTATCTATACATGTTAGATGTTGCTCTTCGTTGATGCTAGGTTGATTGTCGAAGGCATCGGGTGTTTTTCGATCTTCCGATATCCCAGCATCTAAAGTCCAATCATCAAACGTTTGCCCACAACTGTTTCCCTGGACCTGAATCAGAAATGGAATTAAACATCAGTGTTTACTTTTTTGCAAAGGAATTTCCTACAAAGCCATTTACTTCTTCAAGTGCTTCTAGTTTTCCGAAGATTTCATCCATTGATGGCCCAGCCAAATTTGATAAATCCTATATCATAATAAAGAATGATTAGTTCTACATATTGATTATCAATGACTAAGCAGTTAGAGATGTTATGGCTAGCCATATCTTACTATCTGAACTGAATCTTCAGCAGTATCAGTTCTGGAATTAGATGGCATGGTAGATCCATCATTGTCAATAACTAAGTGATATCGATTGCTTCTTTCATCAGCAGGCAGTAGGTTCCCTAAGTTGCTTCCTTGTTCATTGGTGCTAGATTGATCTTGAGGTACCTCTTGTTCGATTGGTATCCCAGTAACCGAGGGGAGCTAAATCATACAATATTAGTCAATTAGTAACAAAAAGCAAATATAAGTTCGGTTCAATTTTGTTTAGCAAGATTCACCACATGAGAACCTCTTCCCGCCCTAAGGACTTACATTTGGAATTGCATATTCTGCAACAAGGTTTCCGAAAACAAAAGGCAAAGAGCCGGTGCCACCGGTACTAGGGCTACCGCTGACAAGATATGAATTCCACAACTCCATAGATTGATGTTCAAGCCCTTGATGTTCATCAAGAACTTCCACCTGTTCTAACATCTTGTTAGGGTCCTCTTTGTCCTGTATCATTTGCAGACAAAATAATGATAATTTTACATATATACATGTAGCTCGTCATATTGACTATGAAAAACAGATCAATTATAATCTTAATCAGCATGAAAATTACCGTGAGGCATCTAGCAGCCTCTGCCTCATTTGCATTATTTTCAATATAATTCCCCAAGTTAGGAGGCAAATAATGACTAGACTGACATTCTTCAATGCATGAAACCTCATCCTTCCCGAACTTCCTCTTCAATTTACAAAGAACAAAAGTTGTCTGCAAAAATGAAAAGGGCGACAAAACAGCCAAAGTACAATCATGTCATCAAAGAACAAAAGTTGTAGGTACATAGCATACAGAGAAAAAAAAAACATATATACCTGGTTAGAAAGGTCAGTAGAATTGAGCTCATATTCATTCATGATCCAACCGGTCTTGATTTTGTCTTGGTCACCAACACGCCCCTTATAAAAGACCAACGTCTTTTTCTTGCCAATCACGGTCTTCATGTCCCTAGCCATAATCTGGCGAGGTTTGCCCGTCGGTTTCCAGTAACCTTTGCTGGTTGTCCTATTGATCCTCGAACTGTTCCGGTACTTAAAACTTGGTCTGTAAAAGAAATACCACACCTGATCGCCGGAGTGTATATTCGAATGTCCTACAAAAGAAAGACAATATCATGTAATTGTATCAAAAAGGGTGTGTGAAACTAGACCTACCGGTGAAATATAAGTAGTTGTTACCAGGTAATTGCCAAGGCTCTAACCCGCAAATATCTTCCACTTCAGCGATAGCTTGGACAAGAGAATCACGGCCGAGGTTTTTGTTTTGTAGATAGAAATGGAGGAGCTCGAAATCCGTGGGGTGGAATCTGTACCCCGTTATGCTGAGTATTTTTTTCCACAGATAGTAACCAACAGCAACCCAGAAGAGGTAATAGCAATAGTAATTGCTGAACCGTTCTTCATTAACTATTGACCGAATGATGTGGTAACCCTTTTTGTTCCTCATTCCAAAACTGAAAAAAAGAAGAAGCGAGGCCGGTGATCTGATGGAAGTAGAAAAGAGATTAAAAAAAATCGTTGTTGTGTTGTAAGAACAGAGTGAAGTATGAAGTGGTTTATATGGCACTGGCACTGGCACTGGTCCTTGAAGTGAATTGTCCTCAGAAATTACATAATTTGTGGCTTGGGGCCTAAGTTCCAAAAGTGAGAGCGACCCTTCCCAGAAACCGCGTTTACATTTTTTCCTATTTACTGAGGGTGACGTTGTAGGCATTAGATCATTTCTCCAACGTGGCAAGGGTTTTGTGCATATATGGAAATGATAAAGACCAAAGAGTCGGGAGTGCTAAATAATGAAGAGGAAGGATCGAGAATTTTGACTTGCTTAGTAAAAGGATTGACTAAAGTTGGTCTGATTCTGTTCATTTTCTTTTCCCATATGTTACTAGGATTTTGTCCCCTTGAACTTAATGCAAGGGAAGTTGCTGAGATAGTGCAAGAGTCGACCCCACGTTTCATCATCCAATCACATTGATTGTCATTGCTTTGTTGGTTCTTTTTTAACCAACTTTTTTTTGGATTTACTAAAATGACCAACTAAATCGTAATGCGATCGATAATTCGCAACGCGATCTCCGGTATCGCAAATCAGTTTCGAGATTCGCAACGTGATTCTGACTATCGCATTGCGATTTCCCAAATTCACGTTGCGATTTTCCTAATTCGCAATGCGAATACGTAAATCGCAACGCGAATTTGGAAAATCGCAACGCGGATTTGGAAAATCGCAATGCGATTACGTAAATCGCAATGCGAATACGTAAATCGCAACGAGATTCTGACTATCGCAATACTGAATTTCAAATTCGCAACTCGATTTCTGAATAAGCAACATGTTTTAATTTCGTAACACAAATGTTTTGGGTACATAACTACGCAGCAGCAGCAACTCATAACCTAAATCCCTAAATCGCAACTCATTCCATCTCCATTTATCACTCTCTCCGGCGACATCCGTTCCTATATCCAACGAAATCCTTCCCCATCCGGCAACAGGTTTTAGTTTTTCAGCTCGTTTGTTTAGTAAATTAATTTACAATAATGAAATCATCTAATGTTGATCATGTTTGGATAGATTTGTGTTTTGGAGGGTCATGGGAGAATGTTCATGGTGTTTTACAATATATGCCTTTACCCATGAATCTTCAACTAAAACTGTCATTAAAAAAGTTAACTTATGAAACTCTAATGTTACGTGTTGCAAATAAATTGAATTTAGAGCCCCTAAGTGGATTTAGGCTATCTTATCAGAGAAATGGTAAAGTTTATTTGTTAACCGACAATGAAGATGTTGAACGATTCATTGCTTACATTAGTGTTTCAAGTGATGATGTTACATTGTATGTTGTTGAACCTAGAAGTAGTGAAGTTGGGTCAGTAGCGGGTAGTAATCAACTAAGTTTTTTAACCCCAGTTTATGGTGCTCAAAATTTAATGGTTCCACCACAATTTCATCACCAAGCAAATATTGTTTCACCATATTTCCAATACCAAACACAATCTCAAAACCCACAACCTTTCCCTAATCCAAATCCCAATCAACTTTCAGCACCAAATTCCGATTTTCGTATTGACCAGTTAGACGATGATGAGCCAACAGAAAAAATTGTGAGTACTAGTCAGTATTCGAAATTTGATCTTGGTCAATACCCGGACTTTGATCTTGGTCAATACTCGGATTTTGATGATTTTTCAGAAGAAGAAACAAACCCTGCGTGTAATGATTTTGATATTGGTCAATACCCGAATTTTGATGATGAAACAGCCGTTGCCGAGAAAGATGTTGTTGATGATAATGAGAAGGAAGTTACGACTGTAAATGAACATGTTGAACATCCATTCTGTAATTCATATAACACTGAAGAAGAAGAAGAAATCCCCAAAGAAAAGTCCCCGAAGAAAATGCCACGGGAGTATAATTGGAATATGCCAGAATTACTTCAGATACCGGAAGAAGAGTTGGTAAAGATAGCAGTTGATTGTTAAACAAAAATTATTCTTATCAAGAAAGATGATTGTTTTGATACAAAGGAAGACTTGAAGATAACTTTGTATACGAAATGTGTGGAAGATGGCTATCAACTAAAAGTTAACAAATCAAGCATAGATCGTTTCGAAAGTGGCGTATGATTGCAAAGAGGATAAAAGATTGTGAAATGTTTCAAGTTAGGACTTTTATTGATAAACATACATGTTCAAGAACCCAAGTTTTTCCTCACCATAGATAGGCAAACAAAAAGGTGTTGGGTGGTTTTCTGGCTGAGTTAATGTTTTTGAATGGTAGGGTATATCGGGGACATGAAATTATGACTGACATTAATGCTCGGATCAAGATTAGTATCTCATATTCTCAAGCTTGGAGAGCCAAATGTTATGCCTTAGAATTGTTGAGGGGGTCGCCAGAAGCATCGTTTGCCCAACTGCCGGCTTATTGTCACAATTTAAAGCTGAAAAATCCTGGGTCGGTAACTCATATCAAAACAGATAGAGATGGATGCTTTGAGTTACTGTTTATCGCCATTGGTGCTGCGGTTAGTAAATCAATATAATTTTGTTGACTCATTTTTGTTAGTTACATGCATTTCACATTTAAATGATTATATTTCTTGTATATATGATTTTGTAGATTCGTTCGTTTATTAATTGCATGCGCCCAGTTATTATAGTTGACGAAGCACATTTAAAAGGTCGATACCTTGGAGTAAACTTATTAGCAGTAGCCATGGATGCTAACAATGGGATACTGCCAATAGCTTACGGGGTTGGCAAATCTGAAATCTCTGATTCATGGACATGGTTTATGGGGCATCTTAGGGATTGCATAGGTCATATTAGCAATTTGACAATCATATCCGATAGGGCAAACTCAATTGACAACGCTGTTAGAAGGTGTTTCCCAGATGCTTTTCATGGACTTTGTGGTGTTCATTTGTATAGAAATCTAAAATCAAGGTCTGCTGGTATAAAAAAATCACAAATGGATATACTGGAAGGCTGTAAAAGCTTATCGGGAAGTGGATTTTAATAAGCATATAAACTATTTAAGACGTGTTTTGCCTCAGTGTACTCAAACACTAGAAGATGTCGGGTTTGAAAGATGGTCAAGAGTACATCAACTTGGAGCAAGATATGGTTTCATGACGTCTAATAGTGCAGAATCAATCAACGCTCTAAGTCGTCATTCCCGGAAATTACCCATTACTATGTTAATGGAGTTTTTTCGAGCCTCTATTCAACAGTGGTACTACAAGAAAAGAAATCATGCATGTATTATTTCTTTAAATTCGTAACTTATCATATATTTTACTAAGTATTATTTATTTAAATTTACAGAAATATTGGAACATCGTGTTACACCATGGACAGAAAAAAAGATAACGAAACGTGTTGTGAAGTCAACGTCATGGAGAGTTGAACCATGTTCAAACACTTTGTTTGAAGTACTGGATAATAACTTAAATGGGCTTGTCGATCTAAATGCAAAGACGTGTAGTTGTATGAAATGGCAAACATCTGGTTATCCGTGTGGCCATGTTATAAAAGTTTCTCTTCATCTAAATCAAGATGATTCAAGCGCATACGCTATGGATTGCTACACTACAGAAGTATATCGATAGACTTATGGCGAGATTGTCTACCCTATTCCACATCCTTCTGAGTGGGACATATCAGATGACTTACAAACAATTTTGCCACCAGTCATGGACAGAAGGCTACCTGGCCGACCAAAAAGTCACGATCGTATACCGTCTAAGGGTGAAGAGAATAAGAGATCGACATGTAGTCGGTGCAAGGAAAGTGGTCATACAAGGTTGACATGTGAATCACCAGTGCCATCACAATCATCTTTTCCTCTACCAAAATATGGATCCTCATCAAAATTCAAAGCTCATATGGTGTCAAGAAAAAGGCAATCAAAATCGCAATCAAAATCAAAATCCCAATCACAACCGGCTTCACCTTTTGGGACTATTAACTTAGGTGATTTTTAAATGCAAACGTTGTATTATGTGTATTTTATATGTAAACTTTTAACATTTTCAGTTAGGCATGTATTAGTAACTTGAGTTTGAACATTGCTATGATCTGTTCAGTTGTTATCACTTATTACACATTCATTTGAATATCGCAACGTGAATTTGACTATTATGTGTATTTTATGTGTAAACTTTTAACATTTTCAGTTAGGCATGTATTAGTAACTTGAGTTTGAACATTGCTATGATATGTTCAGTTGTTATCACTTATTAGACATTCATTTGACTATCGCAATGCGGAAATCGCAACGCGAATATGACTATATCGCAACACGGAAATGACTATCGCAATGCGGAATTGACTATCGCAAAGCGGAAATGACTATCGCAACAAGAGAATCGCAATGCGAAATGAAAATCGCAATGAGTGAATCGCAATGCGAAAATGAAAATCGCAACGCGAAATTAGTTTCGCGTTGCGATTTTCATTTTCGCATTGCGATTCACTCATTGCGATTTTCATTTCGCATTGCGATTCTCTCGTTACGATAGTCATTTCGCGTTGCGATAGTCTTTTTGCATTCAACATAATGCAGATTGAAATCAACAAATCAACTATTACATTTCAATCAATTAAACAAGCACAAATATTATGTACACATCAATTAAACAAATCAACATTTACAAATCATCTTTTACAAATCAATTAAACAATCAAAAAATAATAATGAAATCAACTTTTGCACCCATACATCCATTTCACGCAGATCACTTTAGGATTAACCTGCAGAAACCAAACATTGAATCAACAACACTTTCTACACATCTAAAACCTACAAACAGCAAATTATTGAATTCTAGCTACTTAACCAAACATTTTCAAACCAAAAAGAGTAAATATGTTTAACAACACTTGCATTTGACTTACAAATTATTTATGGACACTTTCATAACGCGGATGCAGGTAGGAAGCGTCTCGCATATATCGCTCTA